TCTATATGGATGCATGTGTACATACACATACATGCATGCGTGAACACATGTATGTGTGCACATACTTGCATACACATACATGCATACACACAAAAATATACGCATACATATTCCTCCATATTTCTCCTTTATGAGAATCAACCTCATTAACAGTATTGGACAGCAATGCAGAAATCAAGAAGATAATGATATGTAAATATACACAAATTTTGATTATTTTTGTTATTAATATTGTAAAGATCAACCCAATAGATAATATCAAGTGATAAAAACCAAAAAGAGATATTAAATTGTATGTGAGTTAGCGTCATGTACAGTATTTATATGATGCAACAATAAAGAAGGGAAATTCTATATATCTATATATGTATTTTATAAAACATAATGGTAAAAAGAAACTAGTTAGAATTCCCGACTCCTCATTTGGATCTTGCTAGGGGCAATGATATTTTTTTATATTCCATGTATTCTTAAATACACCTTCTTAAATTGGGGCTGGAAGAAATGTGTTCCTGTAGTTTGGGGTCATTAAGAAGAATACCCCAATTTTTCATTAGGGTTCTCTTGATTACCCAGTGCTTTGTGTTATACTGGGTAATGAAGAAGGGGCCTTTTCTGTAGGGAAGTTGATTGGATTTGTGTCTGTTAGTGCTGTCGGAATACATCTATTGATATTTTAAGATAGCTTAGTCTATGTGTTCCTCACGGTGGCCTTTTTCCAGAAATGTTTGCTTGAGGACTAGGCTTTGAAGCTTTTAGTCCTCAATGGAGGTGTAATTGTTTTTCAGTCGACAAAATTGACTGTATGGAATGTTCTTAATCCATTTATCATAAAAGCATCTTTTCTTATGCAGGTATTTTTTTATGCAGTCGGCTTAAAGTGTTTAAGTGTTTACGGGAGCATATCCTGGTATCTTGGATGTGGAATAGTTGCAGATCCTGGAATATTATTTGGTTGAGATCAGTGACTATGGTAAATGGAACCCCAAACAGGTTGACATTGCAGTAGGTAAAGAATTCTTGTATGATGTTGACATACCCTTGCCAAATAATGATCACGTCATCTATGTACCTGCCATAGTACATCAGATGGCGTGAAAATGGGTTGTGGTCCCAAAGGAATAGATCCTCCCAGTATGCCATAAATAAATCAGCATAACTAGGGGCAAAACTTGCACCCATAGCAGTTCCCCGTGTCTGGAGAAAAAAGTACCGATGAAACTGAAAGTAATTGTGGTATAAAAAAAAAATTGATGGCCTGTAAGAGAAAACTTACTTATGTGGGATTGAGACGGTCTTACCTGAATAGAAAGTGTTTTACAGCAGTAAGGCCTATTTTATGGGGTATTGATGTATATAGCGATGTTACATCCAGGGAAATCCAGTGATTATTATTATTATACAGGATTTATATAGCGCCAACAGTTTGCTCAGCGCTGTACATTATAAGTGATAATCATTATCCTATCTATAATGATCTAGAGTTTCTAGGAGATGACTAGAGTCCCATATATAAGCAAGGTGTTGTTGGACAATTGGCTGAAGAAAGTAGTCCACATAATCCGACAGCCTGGTTAGTTCATCTATTGATGCTATGATGCTACAATTGGTCTACTTGGTGGGTAGAGTGGGTCCTTATGGACTTTAGGTAGATACTAAAAATAAGGCATAGAGAAAAAAATCTGGGTATAAGGAGGATTTTTCATTAAAATTATTTCTGTAAAAGCTGTCTCCACTAAAACTTTAAGCTCTTATTTGTAGGACCACAATGGATCTTTTTGGAGTTTCAAGTAGATATTTTGGTCAGATAATCTGTTGGCTTCAATCAAATAGTCTTTCCTGTCCAGTATAACCACTCCTCCACCTTTATCTGCTTGCTTAATGACAATATTGGGATTTGACTGAAGTTCTAGGAGTGTCCTATGTTCTTGGAAGGTCAAGTCTTCTGTGCGCATATTGTCTTAAGGTCATTATAGACCAAAGAGTAGAAGGTTTCCACATATGGACCTTTATCCTGACATGAATTAAATTTCGAGAGTGGTTTAAAGTCCATATGGATTTTTCTTCTAGCTTCATGTAGATAGAGATAACTAGAGTCCTGTAAATCTTCAGTAGTGTCATCTGTCCATAATTCTTGCAGCACATCTAGGACAGATTGTTCCAAGGGTTCTTGATGATCTATCAGTTTATTGGCTTCTTCTAGAGGTGTAAGAACCAAATTCTTTTTATTCTTATTAGAGTTTTTGTTGTGATCAAACCTAATGATAGAAAAAGTATCTCACAAACTTGTTGAGATCCTTAAATAAATTAAATATATTGGGCTGGGTGGAAGGGGCAAAATTCAGTCCTTTATATAGTAAAGTCATGTCTGAATTCATGGGGGGACTAGAGGATAGATTGAATATTTTCATGGTTAGTGCGGGGAGGTTGTACAATTGATTATTTTTATCGCCTCCTGTGCAACCACATCTAGTCTTTCTAGTCACCTTTTTATGGACATTGAGAGGGGGTCCCCTAAAAATCCCCCTGCTTGGGTGGGTTCTTAGGTCGAGCTCCCTCATTGATGTATCTTTCTTTATCCTCCAAGGTGGTTCTTTTCTCGCAGCTGTACAGTGCCATCATTCGTTTTGCTGGCGTGTGGGTTAACAGGCCTTCGGTATTCCTTATAAGTGTAATGACTTGGCCTGGTGCCCCTGGTCCTCTGTGCGTAATCTTAAGGTATAGTATTTTTTGTCAAACTCAATACCCTACCATTGCATAGCTGCAGGTGCAGCGCAGAGTGTTGGTGTTTTCCATTCTATTATTACTATATAGTGTGATTTTCAGCAGCTCAATGCTTTCTTCTCCTATTACAGTTTAGATTAATTCATTGTTTAGGGGGCATTGTCTCATCCTTTTTTATTTAATTTCAAGATCCTTTGGTTGCTATCCCACAACTCATTTTTTAATCTTTTTTTTACATTTTATTACTATTTATTTTTAAAAGCTATTTGACCAGCTTTCTGTGTTTGGCACTGGTGGTAATGGAATCAACATCTCTACGCAATCTGGCCAGAGAACAAAAGATTGCAGGTGTTGAAAAACTAATTGCAGCAGCTTTGTCAAACCCAGTAAACAGATCTGATATTGATCACCTTCTCTCTACTAAAGCTATTAAGGTGTGGGGAGTAAAGTAATCAAATGTTGATTTTTAAAACTAATAAAAAAAAAACTTTTTTTTATAAACTAGAAGACCTACTAAATATTAATACCATTTTTTGTATCTTTAGATATCATTATTTTCTTGATTGCTGCATTGTTGTCGTACTGTTAATGAGGTTGATTCTCATAAAGGAGAAAAAATATGTATGCATATTTTTTTGTGTGTGTATGCATGTATGTTTATGCATGTATGTGTGCACACATGCATGTATGTGTACATACACATACATGCATGCATGCACACATATATAACTTACCTCCACTTAAAGTGTGTCCCATGTCCAGCTAGTTACTGCATAGTAGAAACATTCTCCAAAGTGCCACAGGGTTCTCCCCACAGTGCTGATTTTCTGGTGCTGCGGATGTTAATATCAGCCACTGCAAATGTGAAAGACTTGTGTGCTCACTGGCCTCTTCCACCCAACTCCTCCAATCACAGAAATTGTAGTATTCTTTCTCAGAATGCAAAGTATTCTGTGCTTATCGAAAGTAGATTGTATCATTTGTTTACCCATTCTCCATTCACAGAATGCTTTTGCATTCTGGAAATGTATAGTACAAGTTCAGTGAATGGAGGAGGAGACGGATGGAAGGGGTGGCCAAATGGTGCAACTGGTGCTGTACAGCAAAATCCACCCCCCAGATCTAAAACTGAAATCCAGGTAGGATCTTTATTGCATAGTTACATTGTTCCCGCTTGGGCCCATGTAAGTATGCATTTTTCATACCTGAGGGTTCGCTGGAGAAGCTGATAGTCACTGTAGTAGTTGTAATTCGGGTCCTGTGCTAAGTGGCTACCTTTCTGTATAAATAATGAACCTTTTCCTTCACTTATACTCAAAAACCCATGTATAAGAATACAAAATAAATGATATAAATATATAAATTAATCCAAGAATAAAATGATACCCAAAAATAAATAAAATAAAATAAAATACTTCAAAAAAATACAAAAATGTCCAAAGTAATATCCGAATAAAATAAAAAAAATTTGAATGAATAAATAGTCCACCAAAAGTATCTCAATCCAGTGTGTTGAACTTTCAATTTTCCATTCCGAACCTCGTGATACCTCGAAAAAATAAACTATAATAGTGTATTACCTTCTGAATATCATATAAATGGATATACCTTAAACATATGTATATACTAAATCAGTGCAAACAATATATATAAATATGTGCACAAAGATATATTCAGATTCACCTGTGGGTGACACATGAATCATGCAAAAATCATTCTGTGTACACTCCAACAATAAGTGAAAAATAGTGTACAAACAACAACAAAAAAATAAAATAAAATTGTTATCAATAAAATAAGATGATATAAATAAATCAATCAATCAAATAAATAAAGTGAGACAAATCAATTAATACAGTGAACACTCCAATTAATACAGTGAACACTCCATGACCACCTCTAAATAGTGAGATTGAATGCAATTACCCTCAGGGAGAGTAATATCAAGCGTATCTGGATGTTCTTTGATGTATATAGCAATCACTTCCAGGCTTTCATTCACTTAAGATATCAATCCTCCATTTTCCTCATAAAGTAGAAATGAGACTTATGTAGTATATATTTAAAGTATAAAGACATTTTAATATAGCTTCTTACATTGGGGTAAGTAATAATCAGCTTTGTGCCAACAAACCAGCCTCAGCAGCTTCCATATAAGTTAATGACGGCCGCAAGGCGGTTCTCTCATTCTGGGAGGACGTCATATGATGTCCTCCCATTCTAACCGCACATGCGCGACTCCAGGGCTGTGCAGCGCGGCGATCGGCGGTGCGCTGTGTCCCTCGGACACAGCTGATCATTGATCAACGGAAAGAGCCGAAGATGTCGGCTCGGTCATGTGATCAGCTGTGTCCAATCACAGCTGATCACATGTAAATAGGGAAATGCCAGTTATCGGCATTTCTCTCCTCACAGGCTGTCACGCTGACAGATCGTGAGGAGTGGAGAGCTGGTAATCGGCATCCCTCAGAGGGGACATGTACACTAATCATCAGGGCACTGATGATCAGTGTGCCGTGATGATCAGTGTAGCTCCAGCAATGCCACCTGCCAGTGCCCATCAATGCCACCTGCCAGTGCCCATCAGTGCCACATCAATGCCACACATCAGTGCCTTCCAGTGCACATTAATGCCACATATCAGTGCCCATCTGAGCTGCCTTTCAGTGTCACCTATCAGTGCCAGTCAGTGCAACCTATCAGTGCTGCCAATCAGTGCCACCTAGCAGTGACAGTCAGTGCTGCCTATCAGTGTCAGTCAGTGCCACCTATCAGTGCCCGTCAGTGCTGCCTATCAGTGCCTCCTAACAGTGCCAGTCATTGCCACCTAACAGTGCCAGTCAGTGCCGCCTATCAGTGCCACCTATCAGTGCCATATATGAATGCTGCCTTTCAGTGCCCACTAGTGATGCCTGTCAATGCCCATCAGTGCCACCTACCAGTGCCTTCTCATCAGTGCCACCTATCAGTGCCCATCAGTGCATGCCTATCACTGCAGCCTCATTAGCGCACATCAGTGAAGGAGAAAAATCACTTATTTACAAAATGTTTTTGTTTTTCAAATTTTCAGTTGTTTTTGGTTTGTTTAGCAAAAAATAAAATACCCAGAGGTGATTAAATACCACCAAAAGAAAGCTCTATCTGTGTCAAAAAATGATAAAAATTTCATATGGGTACAGTGTTGCATGACCGTGCAATTGTCATTCAAGAAGAGTGACAGTGCTGAAAGCTGAAAATTGGCCTGGGCAGGAAGGGGGTATAAGTGCCCTGTAGGCAGTGTAGAGCGAGCAGCCCCCTGTGGTCTGTGTGTAATGGGGCAGCTACTCATCCCAGGACCCTGATGATAGCAGCTATCTCTGTAATAACATTGACAACTACAGTAAATAGGTGCCTGTGTAAATAAGTCATTGTGCTGATAAAGGCTGTCTTGTAGTGTGTACTCTTTGAAGTCAAAGGGTGCATAAAAAAAGTAACTATTTTGATGTCTATGAAATTGTTTGATGTATCAGTATTTCTGAGTATAGGACTGTATAGCCTGAAAAAAAGTCAAGCTGTGATTGCCTGAAGGAAGACGTTTGGTGCAGATCAGCTTCTCAGAAAAGAGTTATCAGGTGTGTTTAAAGTAAGTAGGACAGGTTAAACTTGTTGATCTTGTGTGCTGCGCCACGAATCTAGTGCATATGCCATATGCAGCTGACACGAGAACATGTTCCTGGCTGGGTATGCAATAATACACTTAAAGGTACTGTATCTGATTGTTTTATTGTGAAATGTAATCTTTGTTGTTGGTCGTTATGTTTTCTTGTTAACTGTGATATTTTCTACACATTACAAATCTTTAAAGTCTTTCAGTAACTAGAGACTTGCAGTGACAGCCACTCACAATAGGTGTGAAATATGTCATTATTATACAGGATTTATCTCACATCAACAGTTTACCCAGTGCTGTGCAACATGAAAATTCACCAACCTGGCTGGATTTATATATATATATATATATATAGATATAGATATATAGTATGTGTATTTAGAGGGTGGAATTGCAACCATACCCATACACTCCCTATACTTGGTTTATGAGCCTGGCTACAGGAAAAATAATTGTAATTTTTATAAATTTGGTTTTGATGCAAGACAGAAGTAAGCTTGTGATATAATAGTCTTCTGAATTAGTACTTACATTTATAAATGTAGCTCACAAGATTCACACCTTTTTAATTCGGAAAATGTGTAAAAGTTGCGTGAATCATGTGTGAAACCATTTATAAACACTACTGTATTCTTATTCTTATGTGATCTCATAGCTAAATGTCGATCTGCTTGAAAGCTAAGTGGAAAAACATGTGACTTGTTCCAAAACAATTACCTTTGTTCTTATTAAAGTACTGTGTCAATGAAAGAATGTTTTGTTAACCACTTGACCTCTGGAAGGTTGTATCTCCTTCACGACCAGGGAATGTTTTGCTATTCAGCACTGTGCTACTTTAATTGGTAATTGCTCAGTCATGCAACACTGTACCCAAAGGAAATTTATGTCTTTTTTCATACAAATAGAGCAACAAAAAATATTTATTCACCACTGGGTTTTAAAATCTTTGCTATATAAAGCATAGTAGCTAAGTGGTTAGCACTTCCGCCTAGCAGCACTAGGGTCGTTAGTGTATCCCAACCACAGCAGTACCTGCATGGAGTGTGCCTGTTCTCCCTGTGCCTGCATGGGTTTCCTCCAGGTACTCTGGTGTCCTCCCACACTCCAAAGTCATGTATAGAAGTAGCTGTAATAAATAATTAAAATATAAATGAAAAAATACCAAAACTTTTGAAAAAAAAAAAAAACATGTTTTTCATAGTTTGTGGTATAAATAATCTTTCTTCATAAATTGGGGCCAAATGTATTCTGCTACATTTCTTTTTTAAAAAATATTATTTAGTCTGTGTGAAAGTTATCTATGGTATATATATTTTAAAATTGATCAATCCTGATGTACTGATGTTTCTTGAGGTCCTAAACTGCCAAAACAGTACAAATCCATTTAGTAAGAGTTTTTTGAAGTTGTAATTTTTTGTCACTTTCTTTTGGAAAATTAAGAAATTAAATAAAATGTGGGTTTTTTTCACAATTTTTTTTTATGTGCTGTCACCAGTGCAGTAAAGCGTCATCATATGACTGGTGTGGAGGTTATCAGAGATACTGACTGGTGACAGTATGTAAAAAGTGATAATAATAATTATTAAAACTTTTACCTTTTTTAACCTTTTTTTTTACTACTATTTTTTACATACTTGCATCAGAGTAGTTCAGTGTCAACATAGTTACACTGTACTACTCTGGGGGGGTAATCTGGGATTTGTTTTGTTTACACTGTTTTTACCGTGATTATCCCTGTAACAGCAGGAACCCCTGTATTACAGCAAAACAAGGTCAGTGTCCTCACTTTGCTGCAGTTACTGTACAGCTTGGCCAAGGATTGGCAAGAATATAAAGGAACAGCAGAACATTGATGAGGTCATCCCTGTGCTATTTCTTTCTGCAAGCAGTGATAGACTGGACAGCATTGTGCAAAGGACTAGCATTCTGGTGACTGGAATACCAGTATTCTGGTACAAAATGAGCCTGTGAAAGACCATTGTGTTTAAAGGAGAAGTAGGGCCACAGCTCATTTGGCCATACTTCTCATGTGGGTCACAGGAGTGCATTTAGTTTTGCTCTAGTTGTGACTCAGAGTTAGCCAACAACTGGCTCAAGTCCTCTGTTGGCTGTTATCACATGTAGAACATGTTCTCCGCTGATCATCTCTGCACACAGAGAATCTGTCACTGACAGAAACAGAAATGGCCAGTGTATGAAGAAGTGATGTCAGCCCTACACTGGTGATCTGTGTGAAAATTCTCCCTTCAGATTCTCCAGCCCAGAAGTGGAGAATCGGGGAGACAATCCCAGGAGAACTGAGTAGGAAGGAGGAAGATTTTTGACTTCCCTCTTCCTCAGTCAGAGCCCCCAAGACTGTGGAAGGTGTGAGGTGTGTGTGTGTGTAGTGTGGTACTGATCGGTCTCCTCTGAGAGAGCAGCAAACGAAGCAGCGGTAGTTTACCGCTTCTTAGGAAACTGTGTTTGACTGATCTCTTACTGTAATCTCGTGAGTTCTCTAGAGTTCAAAGCGTTTGTAGATCGTTTCACTCCTCATTAGGAGAAGTGATCCACACCGCTTCATGAGCATGCATTCAGTGGAGAACTGTCTCCCCTGAGAATGCCAGAGAACTGAGCAGCGGTCATTTACCGCTGCATGATAAAAGGACACCTACAGTATGACACATTCCACGCAAAACTCCAAAGATGGACTGGACAAAATTATTGGCACCCTTTGCAAAAAATAACTGAAATCAATTGCTTCCTGTAACCATCAATGAGTTTCTTACACCTCTCTGCTGGAATTTTGGACCACTCTTCTTCCGCTAACTGCTCCAGGTCTCTCAAATCGAAAGAGTTCCTATTTCCCAAATGATATTTTGAGATCTCTCCACAGGTACTCTATGGGATTTAGATCTGGACTCATTGCTGGCCAGTTCAGTACTCTCTAGCGCTTTGTCTTAAACCATTTCTGGGTGCTTTTTGATGTGTTCTTTGGGTCATTGTCCATGACCTTTGACGGAGACCCAACTTTCTGACACTGGACCCTACATTACACCCCAGAACTCTTTGGTAGCAGGGGTGGACTGACAACTCATGGGGCTCTTGGGCAATAGGGGATCATGGGGCCCCTGTGTCCTTACCCACACTCAAACCACACCCAAACAAGCCTATGAAAGGTACCAAGGGCATCTCATGGTGGCCCCTACTGACCCCGAGCCCTCGGGAAGTGCCCTAGTTCCCAAATGGTCAGCCCACCCCTGTTTGGTTGTCATCAGATTTCATAATGCCATGCACATGGTCAAGACATCCAGTGCCTGAAGCTACAAAGCAACTTCAAAACAGCAGTGAACCCCCACCATGTGTGACTGTAGGGGCTGTATTCTGTTCTTTAAAGAACTGTTTTTTCTGAAAACAGTAGAATGATGGGCTTTACCAAAAAAAAGCTGTAATTTTGTTTCATCTGTCCACAGCACATTCTCTCAAAAGGATTTTGGCTTACCTACCATAGCATCTCTTTTCATTCAGATGGCCTGTGCCTGAAGGTCAGCTTGAATTTGTCTGGATGTTGATCAAGGTTCTTTGTCCACCATTCAAACAATCCTTTGTTGCAATCTTTGATCAATTTTTCTCTTTCGTCCACTTTCAAGGAGATTAGTTACAGTGCCATTGGCTGTAAACCTCTTGACAATATTATGCACAGTGGACACAGGAATATTAAGATCTCTGGAGATGGACTTGTAACCTTGTGATTATCCATGCTTTTCCACAATTTTTGTTCTCAAATCCTCAGACAATTCTTTGCTGCTTTTTCTCTTCTCCATGCTCCATGTGGCACACAGAGACACACAACAGAAAGGTTGAGTAAATGTTTGACCATTTTAACTGGTTGCTGGTGTTATATCTATATTGTCAGCACCTGTTAATTGATGCATGTGAGTGTATTTACAAATTACAGGAGCATCAGAAACTTGGAATGCAATTTTTTCTTACAATTTTGAGATGGTGTCAATAATTTTGTACAGTTCATTTTTGGAATTTTGCGTGGAACGTGCCAGATTTGGCTTTTTGTTTCTCCACTTTTTTGTGTCATACCAATGCAAACAAAAGAAATAAACATGAAAATGCCTAAACATCTGTGATTGCAACAATTGTCTGTGCAAAGTGGTGCATTATCTGACAGAAATGCAGGGGTGGAAATATTTCAGGCCTTTACTGTAGCATGAGTCATGGGCAAGAGGCTTTGGTCCTTCTTTGAAGCTAAAAGTGGTTATAAAGGTTAATTTTTTATGAAAATATAAAGATGATATACTTATCTGCTCTGTACAATGATATTGCACAGAGTGGCCTCTTACCTCTTCACTGGTCCCCACCAGCACTGTCCACTCCTCCTCTCTTCTGAGTGCTCCCATAGAAAGTCATGTGTGGCTGT